ATATGTAAATATGTCTTTGTTTTTGGTTTTTGCATAAAATTGTTCGTTTTCAAAGACAACAGGCGAGATATTTGTATAGAGGTCGTAGGTGTGGTAAAGAATATGTGTGTATGTCGGAAGTTCGATTCGTATTAACTGTAAATTGTACTTTGTACTAACTAGAAGAGCCATCTAAAAAGATGCAAAACTCTGGAAATTTTAAGGTTTCAATGTGTATGTGTGGGTGCGTAGGTGTGTGTGGGTGTGGTGGTGCTTTGACGACTGCTGAAAAATGCATAAAAATTAGTCATTCTATCTACATTTGGTTTTTGCTTTCCTTGCATTGGCATTGCCCAAGAGAGGTCGAAAATTGTCGTGATTCGCTTGGTGGTTGTTGGAAAACATTGATTTGGCCTTACTCAGTGGTAGAATAAATACATATAGTTTTACATACATATAGTTTCGGTTGGGTTACGGTTACTGATCCATCTCTGTATAAAGGTACATAAATAAGATTCTTATCGCGAATATGAGCTATATACTTTTGGCCTGGCTTAATCTCTATTCAATCCTCTATTCATCGATCCATTCATGCTGCAGGAGCAGCAGCTGTTCTTAGAGCTGACGTCGCCGATGTGGTTAGCAGAGGTTCGGTGCCAGCTCGCGGGCCGCTTTTGGCCTGTGGGGCTGTGGGGCTCTGCTCCAAGCTCCAGGAGTGCACCATATTGTAATATTTGAGATAGTCGTAGTCGAAGAGCTCAAAGTCGATGCGATATATATTGAGCAATTGGTCCAATGTTGAGCGATCGAGTTCTCCAAAGTAGCGTTCGACCAGCTCCTCCGACTTGACGCCGCTGCGTGCCTGATTCCCGATTTTGCGCAACTTGCGCCGTGGCAGCTTCCCCAACAGCAACGACTCCAATCCCGCCTGCCGTATGATAAACTCGGAGTCCCGCTGGAAGGTCTCTGTCTTTCCGATGATCGTAAAGTTCACGCTGCACGGCGTACAGAAGCTGTACACGGGTGCCCAGTGCTCGTCGAAGCGATTGCCCGCCGCATGCTCCTGGATGAGAAAGCGCACGAACTCCTCGAAGGTGGGTCCACAACGGGGAAACGCAACGTTCAGGCTGCGGCGGCGATAGCGATGCACGATCTTGGTGCCGAGTGCCTTGTAGAAGCTGTTCCGATTGCCCTCAAGCTTGTTGCGATACGCGCTAAGGATGCGCTCGAAGGGATCGCGCACGAACAAGAAGGACAACGCGCTGGGCAGCAGCTCCATCAGCTCGGATAGCTCAGGGCGGGGAAAGCGTTGACGGGCAAGCTCCAGGGGCTGAACCTCCGTTCGCTGTAGATACTTTAGATCGTAGCCAGCTAATGTAAAGAAAGGAAAAACCGGCTGTGAGAATCGAATAGAGTCTTCTCTTCTCTCTTTCATTGTCTCTCTCTCTCTCATCTCTTATCTGTCATCTCTCATATCTTGTATCTTGTATCTTGTATCTTGTATCTTGTATCTTGTATCTTGTATCTTGTATCTTGTATCTTGTATCTTGTATCTCATATCTCATATCTCATATCTCATATCTCATATCTCATATCTCATATCTCATATCTCATATCTCATATCTCATATCTCATATCTCATATTTGAGATAGTCGTAGTCGAAGAGCTCAAAGTCGATGCGATATATATTGAGCAATTGGTCCAATGTTGAGCGATCGAGTTCTCCAAAGTAGCGTTCGACCAGCTCCTCCGACTTGACGCCGCTGCGTGCCTGATTCCCGATTTTGCGCAACTTGCGCCGTGGCAGCTTCCCCAACAGCAACGACTCCAATCCCGCCTGCCGTATGATAAACTCGGAGTCCCGCTGGAAGGTCTCTGTCTTTCCGATGATCGTAAAGTTCACGCTGCACGGCGTACAGAAGCTGTACACGGGTGCCCAGTGCTCGTCGAAGCGATTGCCCGCCGCATGCTCCTGGATGAGAAAGCGCACGAACTCCTCGAAGGTGGGTCCACAACGGGGAAACGCAACGTTCAGGCTGCGGCGGCGATAGCGATGCACGATCTTGGTGCCGAGTGCCTTGTAGAAGCTGTTCCGATTGCCCTCAAGCTTGTTGCGATACGCGCTAAGGATGCGCTCGAAGGGATCGCGCACGAACAAGAAGGACAACGCGCTGGGCAGCAGCTCCATCAGCTCGGATAGCTCAGGGCGGGGAAAGCGTTGACGGGCAAGCTCCAGGGGCTGAACCTCCGTTCGCTGTAGATACTTTAGATCGTAGCCAGCTAATGTAAAGAAAGGAAAAACCGGCTGTGAGAATCGAATAGAGTCTTCTCTTCTCTCTTTCATTGTCTCTCTCTCTCTCATCTCTTATCTGTCATCTCTCATATCTTGTATCTTGTATCTTGTATCTTGTATCTTGTATCTTGTATCTTGTATCTTGTATCTTGTATCTTGTATCTTGTATCTCATATCTCATATCTCATATCTCATATCTCATATCTCATATCTCATATCTCATGTTTCATATCTCATATCTCATATCTCATATCTCATATCTCATATCTCATTTCTCATATCTCTTATTTCTTATCTCTTATCTCTTATCTCTTATCTCTTATCTCATATCTCATATCTCATACCTCGTATTTCGTATCTCATAGCTCTTCCTCTTTTCTTTATACTCTCTGTTCAAATCTCTATTCTCTATTATCTGCTCTCTCTTTGTCTTTTCTCTTCTCTACATTCTCTCTTCTACGTCTCTCACTCACCCAGTATGTTGAAGTAGTACATCCACGTGCTGCTGGCCGCCTTAAAGACATTGCACCACACCAGATTATTATGGCCGGGCGAGATGAAGAACTCCCATGGGTTCGGTGGGTACTTTTCTTGAAGCTTGTATCGGTCGCAAACAGTCGCCAAGTGATCGCGTCGCAGCTTCAGTTCATGCTCAGTACGGCTGTGCAGCTCCTCGGAGTACTCGTAGACGGGATTCAAGGTGCTTGCCGAGACGGCGGCTTGGGCCTCCTCGGCCAATGCAGCGCTGCGATTCGCCTGCTGGCTAGCCCTGAGACGGGCGAGCGCACGTTGCCGATGGAGCTGTTGGCGCTTGAGCTTCAGCTGCTGCTTTGACGGCTCGGCGTATGCCTCGGCTGCCTCCAGCTCGGCGGTTGTAGCGCGCTCCCGATGCTCGAACGCATTGAGCGATTCGCGGAACAGAAAGGCAAAGTAACAGATGCCCACCAACACAAAGGTGCCTATCTTCAGGTACGTGTGCAGGCGTCGTCCCGACCACAGGCGGATGTGCATTTTTCGTGGAGTCCAGATCCCTCTTCTGCTAGCCACCACACGGCAGCCACTACATGTTACAGGTCACGGATGGGGCTATGAAGACAGAAAATTCCGGGTGAGTTAAAGCTAACATTATTATTCATATCTCTTTTATTTTTATTAGGTATATAAAGCGACCTAGTTGTATCTATTATCTAGTATCTATTATATTATTCGACTTGTGTTACAAGTTTAATTTATTTTTTACAAATATATATTTAGAGGGAGTCCATGAAATGGATCCAGATTAAAGATAAATAATTATAAACGCATCTATTTATTTTGTTTGAGAAGTTTTAACTTAAAACTCCATTAATGATTAATGATTTGATATCATTATTTTTATAGGCCCGCTGTAGATCCTCTTTTCGTATCATCAAGTTCTATTATTACTATTGTTATTAAAGTATATGTTGATTAACAAAGATTTAATATTTAAGTCAAATCTGAAAGACTTTCTTATATACTTGTAAATAGGATTTCCTTAAATATTTCAAACTTGATTACAGTTTCTTTCCTGACGCACTGACGCACTGTATCGAAATACTAACAGCTCAGACTACTTTCATAGCAACATAAGCTGAACTATGCCTAAGATATGTACTAATATAGTTATTTGAGCATTTTTGTTGTAAATAACTCTGTATACTCAGAGTTGTTAATGTGCCATAAAAGTCGACCGGCCTGTAGCAGTGGGGGCGGCATACCACCCAAACCATTAACCCACTAACCCACCATCCCCAGCTATGGGATACGTCATAGAGCAAACATTCACCAATACACACACGCACACACTTATACGAATATACATAGTACATATGAAAAGTAGGACGTCATCCATGAGTGTCAACATTTGCTTTTGTTTTGGTTATTATTCGACTTGTCCTTTAAAACAAACACTACACTAGGCAGCACAGCTTATACGGAAAATACCGAAAAATATATATCCTATATGCATACATATTTGTTGCTTTATCAAGTTTGTCAAGTTTTTGGGCAGAACTTCAATAAAGCTGCAAACTCTTAACGCTTTTACTCCTGTTATTTTCACAGCACTTAAGAAATATTTTTATGCGAATTTCAACTGTTTCGCGGATATCTCAAATGCATAAATTGAAATATGTATTTGATGGCCTATATATGTATATATACCTTTGTTTTACTCGCGTCTGGGGAGCACGTTTACAGTGAAGCTTCGCGAGCGTACACCACTTGCTGCTTAATCCGCTCACCTATGCGAGGTTTCTTAATTTATTGCGTTCTATTGCTATGTCAGCTACGCCGGACAGCTTTGCCGTGCTGCTCCTGACGGCAACTCACACTCAACTGTTTCGTCCTCTCCTGTCCGCTGGCCTTTGCTGCCCTTTGCTAGCTGCCTATGCCACTTCAGAGCACGGCCTATGGCATTGCCGTTGCCGTTGCCTGCGCAGGCGCCGTGAGAGCAGCTGAAGCAACTCGTGATGCCTGCCGACAACAGCAACTCAACTCAACTTAACTCAGCTCKAGTTAGGTTTTCCATCATTTTAATTTACTTAATATCAATACTATTTTAAAAAGAAATTTAGTACTTTTGAGAAATGGAGATCTCTTTATAGATCTATATATATAATAATATATAATATTTCAGAAGTGTTGGCTCTCTGAAACGATTTCATCTGAAGCCTGCTCATTTACATCTCTCTATAACTTCGAGAAATTTCTGTTAAAGTACCAAAAGAAACAATTTATTTTGAATAAATAGTTAATTTCCATTTGTACATATTTCTTCATACTCAAGCCAGATTTGATTATCAAAGCTAAATTAAAATGCGCTGTAAAATGTCTTAAAATTTAACTGAAACAGCTTTCTTAAACGTTTGCTATTCGGGTATATTCTATATTATTTAGGGCCCAAGTTTTCATCTGTTGAATGTACATACTTTTCCCACAACTGTGTCTCTCTCTCTCTCTCTTCCATTCCTTTTTCTTTCTCTCTACCTCTACCTCTCTCTCCGTATTTTAAGTCTGTTTTAACGGAATATTTTTTCTATTAGGCGAATTCCAGTTTTTAATAGAAATTTCGCAAGAAGAAGTTGCCAATTGTTGTCTAGTAAGTTCTCAGCTTATATTATTTGAAATAAGAAACCATAAATATTGTAAGCAACTAAAATTTAAAACAATAATATTTTTGTCCTCTATTTAATAAGTATGCCTATTTGGACGAGTCCATCAATAAAGTCTATTTATCATTGAACCGATAACGCTAGTACCTTTTGTGCTATAATCAAATATGAAATACATAAAATAATCTAATTAGAATGACTAATTTCCTTAATGTGGGAGAGACATTACGCACTGGGGTTAATTTTGTCTCTTAGTATTAGTTCAATTCATGTTTGCCCATAATAAAATATATAATCCTTGGAATTGAATAAGTAAATCCTAAATAAATGATACACTAAGGTTTTTTTTTAATTTTTGTGTATATTAAATCTTTGTATTTTCTTTTTTTTTCTATAAATAATTTTTTACTTTAAAGTTAAAGTACAAACAAATTATTAATAATAAACTTCTAATACTACGTTTTAAGACACTTTCGTTTTTATTTTTGTTGTTCTTCATCTTGTGTTGAATGCATTTGCTTTTTAATATTTTTATTTACTTTTTGTATTCTTTTTATGGGTGTGTGTGTGTGTATTATGTCTTTGTTGCATGAATTTGTGTTTATTGGTATTGGCAATATAAGAATTAATTATGTTTATACAATTTTGCCATTAGCATTTGTTTATTGCAATAAATTTGAGTTTTATTTTTATATTTGTGAAATTTGTGTGGTGAAACATGTGAAAACTTTACTAAATATTGTTGACATCCATGAATTTTTTTTTTTTTTTTTGTATTTTTTTTCTTTTGTAATGAGGTTTTGTATGCATAAACGAATTTGCTTTATATATGTTTTTCAGAGATATAATATATACATATATCGGTACTATATATGCATGTTATTCTAGGGGTCGTGGCTTTACATAAGTTTTCTTTTCATTAAATTAAACATGTACAAAGTATCAAAAGACTTATTTAATTAGCAATCATACAATACACATAAGATAATAATATTGAACAATATATATGTATGCGTTTAAAGAAATATTTATTATTTGTATTTAATTAATGTGTTTGTTTAGCGCTTTGCTTCTGCTATGCATCTTTGTTTTCCCCTATTTGTTTAAATAACATTTAGCAAAAATAGAGCCTGCTTTATATACAATACAACTTTTGCATTCGTTTTTTTTCTTATATTTTTTTTCTCTTTTGTTCTTGTTTTGTGTATGCAAAATATATAACATTATATACGTTTTTTAAATCTTCTTTTTGTATATAAGTATATACATATTTTTATTCGCTTTGCAAAACTACAAACACTTTTTATATATTTCTCTCTGGTATACACGTATTTTTTTTTCGTGTTTTTCCTTGACTAACTTATTGCAGAGGTTTATATGTGCATATGTATTGGTAGAGGATTTTTTGTTTAATATTATGTATATGACTTACAACAAAGCATTTAAAACTAAAAAACAAATTTTTCGAAACAACGCAAACGTATGCATATAAAACTATAGAGACTATATCTGTATTTCGTGTGCATATAATTAGRTATATAATAAAATAAAATTATAAAAGTATGGTCTGTTTTGTTTGTTTGTTTTCTATGTTAAGCTTGGATCATCAAGATAAACATTAGTTTATTTTTGCGTTTTACCTTTTCTAAAAAATGTGTTTAACTGTGTTTCATCTATTTGAATTAGGTCTAAAGTATATACAATTGCTTAGATGAGAAAATGAAAATACGCATGCGTCATAGAGCAAGGTGTCGGGGTTAACTACTATTTTTGTGTTTTTTTTTTTTTGTTTATTTTATTATTTTTGTATAAATTTTGCATGTGTATAATTTTCAACTAATTTGTTCAATAAATGTTTTTGATCTTTACACAAATTGTCTGTTTCACTTGACTAGTAAATCTATTAACCAAGGGATATTTGGATTTGGATTTATGGAAAGTAGTGCTACATAAGCAGAGAGAAGTTTCGAATTAAAAATTAAGTGAAACATGGGTATATATATATGTGTGTGTGAGTGTGATGCTGCTCGTTTTGAGATGCAACATTATTGCAACCTTTGAATACAACTAACTATACAAAAATATTCAAGGAAAAAACCTTTACAAAACCTTTGTACAAACGAAAGAATTGGCATTTGTCTGTTTTGTTTGTTTGTATGTGAGTTTAAGCTATTTACATAACTGCAGAAATAAGCATTTTGAACAATCGGTTATCAAAGCGACGCCGTTATGCCATTTGCGAGGAGCTACTGCTCACGGACCGATCATCGCCTGTGATGCTTGCCTCTGTTGCAAACTCCTGAAATCGCAGCGGCACAATGTTGAGCACTTCGTTGACGTCACGCCATTGCTGCTGTTGTTGCTGCTGCTGATGGTGTCTGCCACTATTTATATTTGCACTTCCGCTTGCATCGCAGTCCATGAGCTCCTGATCATCCTTCTCGCTCAGAATGTTGTTCAGACACATGTTGAATTCATCGTAGTCGACAAAATTGCCACAGTCTAGGCCTGTGGCATTGCTCAGATCTGGCATGAGTAAGCTAACAGCATCCACATTTACTTCAGCGTCCACTTCGCTGCTGTTCTGATACGTCATCAGTTGCAAATCATCGGCCTCATCTCCCTCCTCTTCCAGGTAATCAAGGGCGCTTTTATCTGTTGTTCCGATGAGTGTCAGCGCTGAAGATATATTCACGATATCCTCTTTTATATCTCCAATATCGATATTAATGCTGCTATTCTGGTCGACGTCTCCTTCGACGTTTTGCGCCTGGGCCAATGGGAAACTGGTGCTGATATCAAACCGATCCGCAGTATCCAGTTCGATCAGCTTAATTAATTCGTCCTCTTCAGCATCGCTCGTATGGTTAATTCCCTTAGCCAAGGCGCAAAACTCTGGTCACTTGTAATCACGCGAAGTCCTTCTTCTTCGTCCCTCGGTCAACGTAGCTTCACCAATAACTAAAAGTTTTCAATTTGTAACACTTTTTTCACTACCAACCGATAATGCTGCCAACTTACCTGCACTGCGCGTCTTTCGCCGCGCTTCAGCCACACTCTCGGAACTGGCGTTCGCATTTGAGCTGTTGACACCACTGACTACTCCGGCAGCACCGGCTGCTGATTTACTTGGAGTACTTTTATGCTCAGCAGCTGCAGCAGCAGCCGCGGCCGCATTGCTGCGACTATATATTATCTTGTTAGCTGCAGCGCTCGCCCTTACGCTCCTCCTCGTTCCAATCTTTTCGTCTGTTGGCGAATTGGCGTTCACAATGTTGTTGTTATTAGAAATGCTGTTGTTGCTGGTGCCACTGGTGGCAGCAGCTGCTGTTGCACCACGTGTTGCGTGCACTACACCTGTGCTACTATTGCTGTTGCTTGACGTCCCCGCTATCGCCGCATTGCTGACCGTCTGCAAGGTCGCACTATTATTATTATTGTTRTTTGCTGCAATGGGCTGTGATTTGCCAGTCTTCTGTGCCTGCGTGGGTGTTGTACTCAAACTGGGAGCTTCTGAAAAAAGACCAGGAATAACTAATCAAAATAGTATCCAAGCATATTTGCATTTTCAATATACTTACTTTGTTGTTGCTGCTGCTGCTGTTGCTGGGCGTTTCGTCGCGTCACGTGCTTTTCCTCAACTTGAGCCTTCGAATTGCGCACCTTGCCCGCTACCTCAATCAGGGGCTCGTCCGAGTCAGAAGATTCGATCTCAATCTTTTTGGAGTGCATGTAATTTAGCCCCGTTGACTCTGTGGCCTCAGCGGTATTATTGTTGTTGTTGTTGCCACTGCTGCTGCCACTGCTGATACGCGTGCGCTTGTTGCTGTTGCTAGTCTCAATGAGAAGGTTGGCATCGTTAGCTCCGTCATTGCTGCTGCCGCACTCCGACTCCTGCCGACGACGCTTCAGGCTGCTGCTATTATTGTTATTGTTATGCATTGGAGCCGTCGTTCCCAATCGGGGACTCGGAATCGACGCGACCCTGGTTGCGCTTCTGTTCGACACTGTCGCTGTCGTTGCTGCCGTCGTCGCTGTAGTTGTAACAACTACAGTTGTCTGTTGCGCTTCTGGGCTGCTCTTTTGAGCATCCAATGGACTCTCTAGACGACTGGTAGCACGAGTTCTAATTCGTGGCGTTTCGGAGTCCAACTGAGGGGGAATCTCAATGGATATGGGTTGCAGGGATTCCGTCTGAGGCTTTTCTTTCTCTTCGACTACCTCATTCTCCTTAGCCGGGGTAGATGCGAGATTTTTTTCGGGCTCGGGTTCCTGTTTAATAGAAGGAGCAGTCGATGGAGTCGTTTGCCGATTATCCACTTCTGCAGCCTCCTTTTTAGTGGGCAGCACCGTAGGCAGCTCCTGCAGTTTAATGTTTTCTATTTTGATCTTACTATCCGGATTTGGCTCCGCTACGGTCGCTACTATCGCGTCAGTAGCTGGTGTGGGCAACGGCTTTTTCGTATCCTCCGATTCTAAATTGTCCGTCAGCTTCTTGATGAGATCATCGTGTTCGAATATATCATGCTCCCCATTCAGTTTAGTGCTGGTTGTTGTCAAATGAAAGTCACCTCCAATGCTGGACGCAGTGTCCTCCTTTCGCACTGTGGCTACGAATTCCTCCGCGAATTCGCCCTCCATTTTGGCAAGCGCCTTCTCGATTTCATCATCGGCGTTCTGTAGCTGCTGAAGTTTACTGTTGCCCGTGCTCGGTGTCTGCACCGGTGTTGCAACTGATGAAGATTGCGTTATTGTTGTCGATGTGCAGGCTGAACTTGTTGCTTGCTTCGTGATCATTTGCTGTTGCATTTGTATGGGACTGCTGGATGATTGCTGGTGTGGACTCTTTTCAGAGAGCGCATCCATAGACTCAATGCCGCTGTCTTCTCCGCCGCCATTGTTGCCGTGGCCGGGAGTGCCGCTGCCGTTGCTCGCCGGTGAGTTGCGCAGCGTGTTCGCGAGAACAGATGCTGGTGTTGGCGTCGCAGCCGCCGCAGCCGTAGTCGGTGTTGGTGTTGGGGATGACGTGACGCCTGGCGAATTGACTACAGTTTGCAGAGCTACATGATTTAATTTTGGATTTGCCGGTGTCATGATGGGTACATTCGTATTACTAATTGCATTCTCACTGACATTGTTATTGAGCATCGAGTTGGAGTTCATCGAAATTGCAACTGGGAGTTTTCTTTCCCCAAGCATTGACAATGTTGCTGTCGCTGTTGGCGTGGATGGTGAGGGTGTGGTGACTGTTATTGTTGCTGTATCGGCGCTGCTTGGCGCCAATTTGGTGATCTCGACACGCTTGAGCGTTGTCGCACTTGGCAGCATGGTTACGGCCGCCGCCAGTTGTTGTTGCTGATGCTGCTGTTGCTGTTTCTGTAGCTGCTGTTGCTGTTGTTGCTTCTGTAACTGCTGCTGCTGCTGTTGCTGCTTCTGTAAATGCACCTGTTGCACAGCGGTCATATATGGCGGCGGCGGCTTATGGTTTTTTGTCATTGGCTTTCCACCCACAATCGGCGTGATGGTAGCTGCAGTCTTAATTGGGTTCTTCAGTGTTATGTTGCCCAGCATGCGACTGTTGTTGCTGCTGCTGTTGCTACTGTTAATGTTGTTATTATTGTTGCTATTATTATTATTATTGTTGTTGTTGGTGGTTGTGGTGCTTGTGATTGCACTTAGAGTGATGCTGCTTGGCAGCGAGGTTGCAATCTTGCTCAGTTGCTGCTGTTGTTGTTGCTGCAGTGTTGTCGCCGTGCCAGTGTTCGTAGACCCAACAGTTGCCAGCTGTCCATCCCCGGCCTGCGACTTATGCGCCTCCACAATGGCACTGATCGTAAGCCCGTTCTTGCCGGCTACTATAGTTGTGGTCTTAGCACCTGTTGTCAATTGTTGCGCTGGATGAACTGGTTGTGGCGGCAGCGAAGGCGGTGCTTGCGGTGCCTTTTGCAATATAATACCAGAGCTTGGTAATCCATTGACATGCGGCACAGGCGCTAGCTTAGATTGCTTGCTTTCCGGCGCACCCTCGATTGCGTGCTGTTGCTGCTGTTGTGCCTCCTGCTCGCTAAAGGAGCGCTTTATTTGCCGAGCTTTTTGACCCTCCTCTGCCGATGTTGGTGCCTTCTTGCGCTCCTTGCGTGTATTCTTTACAACCACAGAGTTTTTGCCCCGGAGGCGAATCTGCAGCGGCGGCACGCGTGGCTCACTCAGCCCTGCAGCATTAGTTTGCTGTTGACCGATTTGTTGTTGATTCTGGAAATTACTGTACACAGTATGGTTTTGATTTTGCTGTTGCTGTTGTTGCTGCTGATTTTGCTGCTGCTGATTTTGCTGCTGTTGCTGATGATTTTGCTGTTGTTGCTGCTGTAGCTGCTGTTGTTGTTGAAGCTGCTGTTGTTGCTGATGTTGCTGATGCTGCTGTTGTTGCTGATGCTGCTGTTGTTGTAGCTGCGGTTGTTGCTGCGGTTGTTGTTGCTGCTGTTGTTGTTGCTGCGACGTAGGTAGAGCCACTATTTGTGTTTGCATCGGCAGTTGTTGGTGCTGCTGCAAGTGATTACTGTCCATTATGGCATTAAGTTGAACATGCTGATGCTCATATGACGCTTGTTGCAAATCAACTTTCTCTACTTTTAATCGCAGCTTGATTTTTTCGTCCTCAGTCGATGAATTAGACACCGTTACTGCTGCAGCTGCTGCCTTGGCTCTAGCATTGCCCTTAGCACGTTCCCGCTTCGCCTTTGGAGTAGCCGGTGTTGTTGGGTCTTTGGCTTTCCGTTCTTTCACGCCCTGCTGCAATTTCTCCCGCAGAAGATTCGGCTTAGCTTTCTTACTATTGCCAATGGTAGTTCCGATCGTGCCAATCAACGGAGAACTGTTGCCCGATCGAGGAGAATCGCCGGTTGGTGTGGTTGACTGCATTTGCACCTGTTGCATTTGCATGGGCTGGCCTGAGTTAGACATTTGCAGCTTCTGGTTAAGCTGTTGCTGTTGCTGATTCTGATTGTTATGGTTTAGCTTAAGCTGTGGCATTTTCCTCGATCGATTCGATGCTGATTTGTTCGAGGCCATCGAATCACGTGATCTCTCCTGATCACTGCCCGCCAGCGGAAGCTGTTGACCACTAGACATTGCAGAGTTTGAGTCTTCCTCGGAAAATAGGTTGTTCGGCAGCATCATATCGTTTGCAGGATTAAAGCCCGCATAACCGCTCAGGCTACTTGACATGCTGCGAAATTGCAATTGTGTTGTTTCCTGCTCAGCCTCCGTATCACTATCGTCACTAGCCATGGGCTCCATGTCACCGGTGTGAGGATTTATAATGAATTGTTTTTGCTGCATATTTCCTTGACGTTGTTGCTGCTGCTGTTGTTGTTGTTGTTGTTGCTGCAATTGCGCCAGTTTCTTTTGGGCAGCAGCTTGTGCCCCTGTATTATCCACTTGTTGTTGCTGCTGCTGTTGTTGCTGTTGCATTTGAAGTGGATGTTGTTGCTGTTGTTGTTGGGTGCGGTGCGCCACTTGTTGCTGCTGAATTTGGCGCTGCAACTGTTGTCGCTGCTGCTGTTGTTGTTGCAATTGATTGAATTGCTGTTGTCTCTGTTGATGCTGGTGTTGCTGTTGCTGCAATAATTGCTGCTGGTTGAATGACTGCATGTCCAGCATTTGAGTTTGTTGTTGCTGCTGATGCTGGGACTGTGGCTGTGATTGATCTATACAACCAGACGCATCCTGCAGCGTGCTCAACGCATCTCCAACGTCCATACCGACCGCAGACAAATTATCCTCGATTAAGTCCAAGTCTAAGTCCTTAGCATCCTGAAGCAACGATTCGAGTTCGTTCTTATCCTCAAGGCTCAGCGTTGAGTCTAGATCACAGTTTAGAGTTGGCAGTAAAGCGTCCAAGTCGTTGGTTGTTAAGGCCTCCAGGTCAGACAACGATATTAATGGATCATTTAGGCCATGACCAACGTTTGAAACATTCGTCACATTCTGCGYTTGCTGTGGCACTAATTGCTGTAGTTGCGTTGGCATCGATAACTGCTGCTGCTGTTGCTGTTGTTGCTGCTGACGTTGCCCGGTACCCGATATTGTTACCGTTCCCGGTGGCACCATGTCGCCGGTATTAGTTGCCGTCGTAGTCTGCGCTGGGCCGTTGCCTAAATTAATTTGCTGTTGCTGCAGATTGTATTGCATCTGATAGCGTGTGAACTCCTGGAAACTGCTCTTAGTAACCGAATCCATCGGTTTGTTAAGCGCGGGCCAGCGCGAATTCGCCGCTGCCTGATTGTAGTCAGGCGGTGGTGGCAGCTGAGCATTGCCCGCGCCAGCTACAGGTACAAGGTTAGCATGTTGCATATTTGAGATTGGCGTCATCTCTTTTTGTTTCTGCTGAAGCTGTGTCAGCTGCTGCGAATGTGGGCTTTTGGGTGTCGTCGAAGGCGAAAGCAGCGATGGAGGTGGACCCTGATGATTGCCCATTAGCGGACTGTGCATCGAGTGATGACTGGAGGCAGGTGAATGGGCAATGGGCGAGGCGCCACCATGTGACATAAACTGCTGCGTCTGGGGCGAAGACAATGGCATGCTCATAAGTCGCTGATGTTGCTGCGGATGTGGTGGTGGTAGACCGGCTCGGATTTGCTGCTGCCTCAACTGCTGCTGTTGCGACTGTTGCAGGTTTATATTAGTAAAGCAATCTGTGTAAATAGAAGATCATTTAGATATGTGTTCCTGTTGCGGCTGATTTCATGCTTACCAGTTGACTGTTGCTGCCCAAGAAACTGCTGCTGCTGCTGTTGCTGTTGCTGCTGTTGGGGTGGTATGAATCGCTGATGTATGCCTTGCATTTGGTGATGGCGCTGCTGTTGATGAACCTGTTGCTGCTGATGGCGCAGTGCGACCGCATGCTGAAATCTATGGGGTGCGGGAACTTGGTTATATAGATTCGCGTTACTACTGGGACTGAGCAGCATCTGTTGTTGTTGTTGTTGTTGCTGCTGTTGTTGGTGATTCGGCATATTTCGCATTATTACGGGGCCGCCACCTGTTGGAGAGGATGGCACTACCGGACTAGGCACATTACCATTGTCATGCGGCGCACCTGTTGTTCCCATGACAAAATCACTGGGCGTGGCCGAAGAGCAACGCATTGGTGAGCTAGAGTTCATCATTTGAGCACTTGGACTCATGCTCACAATGGGCGACTGTGGTGTCGTTGGCGTCGTCAGCTGGGGCGATTTCATTTGACTCGATAACGCATTACCGTCGTTTTGCAGCAGATTGACCAAAAGCGGAGATGATATTGCAATGTTATTACTGCCTGTCGATGTTGTTGAAGGCGCTGGTGTTGCAGAGGATGACGACGACATTGGCATATTATAGGTCGGCGCGGGTTTCGTACTTGGTGCAACAGCTGCTGGATTGTTACTGTTAGAGGCAGTCAAACTTGAGCTCGTGCCTGTACTAGGACCAAGACCGGGATATGGCGGAGGCGGATTTATGAACTGAGATTTATTGGGGGTTCCCGCCACAATTGTCGTCGCAATAACCTCGCCATTTTGCGCTGATTGATTGTTCAACAGATTGAGTGTAGCAATTGGAGGCGGAGGCGGTGGACCAAGAGTGTTCATGCCACCTGTGGTTGCAGCTGTATCCCTGCCCTGCAGGACACGTGCCTGTCGCATACTTTCGAATGGGAAATCTCTTGGCACATTAAGTGTACCTGCAGGAGAAGGCAGCAGTGGCACCTTGCCTTCCATTGGACAAACCGTGTTGGGTGACTTAAAAACAGGCGGAGTCGTAGATGCATTACTGTACGGCGAAGGTGGAGTCTGCGGCGGCGGCAGCGACTGCTGTATTAATTTCTGCTGTGGTAGTACATTTCGCCGTTGCTGCTGTAATTGCTGCTGGCTTGAGATTGCATCGTTCTGCGGCAGTTGCGTGAGTCGCTGATGTTGCTGCACATAGGCCGCTTTGCTTGTACTGGGACCATCGAAACTTGGTGCCACCAAATGCGTTGTCGCCAAGTTGGCAGCGCCAACGACGTGAGCGGCTTTGTTGGAAGACGTGCCAGCCGCCTCAAGTGCACCGCTTGCGACATCGTTTGAATTATCTTTAAAAATGGATTTAGATCTCGCATTAAAATTGATTCAAGTGCAAATATTTTAATAGTCTGCCTAATACATACCTTTTGTTATTTTAATATCTTGTCCTCCAACTTTTAAAGCTATCACAGAATCGCCTTCAGGCTGCACGGAAAGAATCCCGAGCGCACGCAAGGTGGGATTGCCCTCGACGGCCAGTTGACGCAGTCGTAGTGCTGCCTCCCACGGGAGCGACACCGATATCCGCACAGACGGTTCAAGCTGCTGCAAATTTGAGAATTTGTTTAAAAAATGCATTGCAAATTCTATACATTTAAGGAAGCAGGAGGCAAAGAAATTTCTAGCGGTGTGTCAATTCCCGATATATTGACAACTATCGTTTATCGGAAACTGAGTTGGGTTTTGCAGCCCTGACTAACAGAAGTGACGAAAAAAACTCTGCATGTATGGACATGTGTGTATGTACATAGTAAACACAATTATATATGCTATAAATGGTTATTTATAATTAATTCAAGCGAAAATAATTTATCAAATTAGTTCTTGTTAATTATTCAGTCAGACAGTGGGAGCCATACTAAGAAAAAAAAAAAAAAACAATTAAATATTTTGACGTTTCTGTTTTGTGCTGGTTGTTCGTGTAGTGTGCGAGCGAGATGGTTATATGGACTTGTTGGAAATTCCAACAACAATTTATTTTAACAACAGAAATATTTTATGAATTTTTGTCGCATCAAGTCGATAACGACTGCATCTAAAAGAGACAGTCTGGTCTTAAACTTTATGCGCAGTAATTCGAATAGAAATACAAACAAAAATTAAAAATTTCCTGTGCACACAGGTTGCTCACGTTCTCATTTTCGTTTCATGTTATCGATACCCCGTCGCCATTTTTCTTTGGACTCTTTAAAAGGGTTGTGTGTCCGAGAGGGGAAAGAAAAAGGTAACCAAAATACTCTGGCCACCTTCGTTCCTTACACTGCCCACCGTTAAAAAAAATCCCAAATCCAAATAAAAAAAAAGAAAAAAAAAAATAGAACTACACACACATACACTCACACACCTAAAGATACGCTAAACGCATGACACGTCCAAAAACTGTGTTTTCAGTAAATGGAAACGGCGTGGGTGACGCAAGTGTTTAATAGGCGACCACGACCACAACCACGACCCCACCACCTCTAAATTCTTTAGTCGCAGCAAATGCAATACTCGCGAATCAGCTGTTTTTGCAAAGTTTGCGGCAACAGAATACTAGAAGCAGTAAAGCGTTCATAATTATAGATGAAAGTGAGTCGGGAAGACACTGCAACTGCATTGCATTCACACGTATAGGTGTGTACTCGTACTCACCTGTTTAAGTGGCATATCATCACACGGCAATCGTACCCGTCGTAGATTTAATTGGTAAAGTGTTGCACAAATTTTGCATTTAGCACATGCACACACAATTTTTGCTATAACTATTTTTATAAACACGGATGCGTATCAAAATCATCATCGTGGGTAATGGATAAATTCGTATTTGTATTCCAGATTATAAGATGCGCATCAAATCGTCTTTTGCATTTAAACAATTGCATCTTTTCTTTGCGCACATTTTTCACTATTGTGAGCTTCTAGTCGTTGTTGTTATTAATATCATAAATTATGACACGAAAACACAGGTCCAACACTTTTTACCGCCTTGCCACACTGTATTGTTTTTTTTTCTTTGCTCACGTTATGCAGTTAAACTGTAACTGAAACGCCGTTGTTGTTATTTTTGTCTTTGTCAGCACTTCTGCCTGCATATATACATATGTATGCACATACATAAAAGGAGCATAACATTACTTATTACTTTGTTTTATTTAACTTTAACCTCTGCATCTTGTTTCCTTTTCGACGCGTTTTTTTCCGATTTAAAGACAACGTGGAGTGCGGGTGAAGGCGGGCAGTAGTTGGGCGCTCCTATGCTGGCTGAATTGGATTTATGGTTGAGAGTTTTTCCAACGTTTTTCAATGCAGATGATTGCTTGAATTTGGACGCATCCCTATTTGCAAATTGTATAATGCACTTTTCACAGCTTGGAGTGAATTATTGTGGTGTCACAGTTGTTCATTTCATGCATTGAAAATGAATAATATTGCTTTTCACTGGCGCTGAATATTTTTCTTGTCACAGTTTGCGTTTGGACAAATTTTTGTGGCGTTGATTTAACCGACGTAGGAGCGAGTAAAAAGTTTATAACTATACAAGCAGTTAACAGAATATTTTTACTTGATTTTAAGCCTATTGGTATTTCTTTAGAGTAGTGTTTTTGTTGTTTATTTTGTAAAAAAATCTTCGTAATTATTGCAATTCCACGAACAATAACAACCGCCATTTGCATTCGCCTTTAGTGGTAGCCATTTTTATTTTCCAGTCAGTGTTAGCCTTATATTTCTATTCAAAATGTACTAAAAATGCCAGCAACTATATGCTCGCAATTTCGAATCAAAATAAATCAACATTTCTTGTTCTTATACAGTGAAGGTTTTCCAATTATAATTTATTAAAATGTATAATTTTTAACTCAAAAATGTACATATAGATGTATGTAGTAAACACAAATAACGATCAATTTTTAAATGTTTCATTGGTAATGATTTATACAAATGTTTTTTATTATGTAAATGGCGTATGAGGTTTTCAAAATTAACGAAACATAAATATCGGTTTCCGATATTTTAATAAATAACTAATTTAGCATACATATACAGCATAATTCATTTACAATTTCAATATTTACATACTGTGGCACCACTATACAGTATTTGCCTACTGTGGCAACTCTTTCGAATACTTTGATAGTGTGGCATCATTAATAGTGAATATTCGCTGCAAAAGTGAGTCAAATAATTTTGTTCGCATTTATAATTGCACTCATTGAAGGTTTATCTAAAGATATAGTACAATTCAGATTGAATTCCATATACTTAATAGTCAAACCTTTTTATGCCATTTGGGTTATTCACAAGTGCTTTTTTGGCATCATTTCGTTACATAACAACTGACCAATGAAAATTTTACTTACAGTTACCGTAACATTAACATGGCCAACACTCCAGCTACATCCAGCAGCGCCGGACCCGTCCTGCGTGGTCTGCACAATGCGACCATCAAGCGCAATCTGGCCGTAGCACTTGGATTAACTGCAGTTATTACAGTTGCTTTCAAGATCCTGGTTAACGACCCAAAGAAAGCTGCCTATGCTGAGTTCTACCAGTGAGCAGTAAAATCAATATGCCAACGGGCTTTCGAATACAAGTTTGTTTTCTATTTACAGGAAATATGACGCCAACAAGTCCTTCGAGCGCATGAAGGCCGCCGGTCGTTTCCAGTCGTGCTAAACGATCTCTAGGTCTAGCAGATATAGTATAAGACATGAAAATGTTGCTATAAAGTATGTTACTCTAATGTGTTGAAACCCAAATAGATTTCAATTCATATGTGTATCGCAGTGTTTTATTTACGGGATTAGAATTTGTTTATTGATCTCTAGAAACTTATTAAAATAGTGCACAAAAAGAAAACAAACACAATAACTATTAGACTGTACAACATTTTAAAATCTAATTGCAAAGTCTTTATAATCCAGTCGATTTAAATTGCTTTGGTTTCGCAGCTCGCATCGTTCGATTTGGCAGCCGGGCGGGCCTTCGGTGGACAGCCAAGTAATCCTAGATTCCAAATTCGAAATCGAAACATTATTAAATCACAACGTTCACACACATTGCGTGACTACATACATTTTGTCAACCTCCACCTTGGCGCCCTGCATTTTGCCCACAATTGTTCCTTGTTTACTGTTTTTGACCCAACCTGTGATACCTGCTTTGGTGCAACGATCGCGCGTTTCTTTTGTGAAATTCAAGCCTGTCGATTATACAAACATTGTCAGCTATAATTACTTTGTCTTTCGGTTACTGTGTGTGCATTAAACAAAGCCAAGGACATCCAAATGCCGAGCTACGGTATAAGATTTATTTTTAGCCCATGGCAATAGCAATAGCGACTGGGCTCCGTTTGAAAGGCGAACGCATTTGCAACATTTATTAGATACATATGAGATTCGCACTCCACCTTGAACATGTCCGTACACTTCGAACTCCAGTGTGACCAGCTGTCGTATATCCGGAATTCCCATTTTGATGCTGCTGCAGCTGCTGCTCGGATTGCCTCTTCGCGGTTATATAAAAATATGGATTTTCTAAGTCGGTTCGGTTTACACGATTATCGCGTTGATTTTAATACATTTTAAGTTTATTTGTTTTTCTTTTGTTGCAATCTTTGATTTTAATTGTAATAAATATATATCCAAAGTGCAGTTGCGTATTTGATTTGATTTTCAGCAAACCGTCGACTATTTGAAACTGAAATGTCAAGTGTTTGCATTTTACGCCTTGCTGCAAATATCAATTGCTTTCTATTTTGCGCTTTCGATTTGCATTTTCGTATTTATTTTCGCTGCGCAGTTTACCTCACTCGTCTTTTTTTACTTATCTTTTATTTTCGGCGAAATTAGCCAGATCAATTTGTCTCTATTGTTCGATACACTACAATGTAGATATGCTCGCATACTACATATAACTTAGATATATAAAACATAAATTAGAATTATAATGTATATAATGTAAATATATGTAAAAAGTAAATAGGAAAATAAGTCTGCCTGAAGGATTTTGTCGCTGTGGCTTCAAACTTTGTTATCTAGAATTAATTCTTTGTAACAATTAAAATAATAAACAAATAAAACATAAATATATAAAGTATGTGTAGCTGTTTCAAACGAAATGGAATGATAAAAAATATATGTGTGTAAATATATATTTGTAGGCTCTACATATGTACATTTCAATGAAAAACATAATATCCTGTCTAATGTTTATRTAGCATATGCTAATTATTTTATATTATTTATATTCTATAACATCCTATTTAAATTATATAAA